ATTTTTTTGATTTATTGCAGAGACAAGGTCTTGCCAAGTTGCCTGGGCTAATCTCAAACCCCCCTGGGTTTAGACAATCCTCTTACTTGTGCCTTCCAAAGTTCTGGGATTACAGGTGTGAGCCACTGTGCCCAGCCCCATAATGTGGATATTTTTTTAATCTACAGAAGTACTAGGAATTCCCAGGAAGTAGAACTACTGAAATCCAGACCCAGTAGCATGGTGTTAGTTACTGAGACCCCTGCAAACAGGCCTGCCTGCCTGCTTAATTCTCAGCCTTTGGCTACCCCACACTTAGATACTTTGATTCTACTTAGCCAACTTAGATACTAACTAGAGTCTGGCTCGTCCCTCCCATCTCCGGGCCTTTTCCCATGCTCCTTCCCTCCACCTGCAAAGCCCCCTTCCCTTACATGCCAGTCCCAACTATCCAAAGTCAACCTATGTAAAGCCTAGGTTAAGAGCATCCTCCCTCATTAAGTCTTTTTTTTTGAGTTGGAGGCTCACTCAGTCGCCCAGACTGGAGTGCAGTGGCCGCTCCCGGCTACCTCGACCTGCTGGGCTCCAGCAATCCTTCTGCCTCAGCTTTCTAAGTAGCTGGAATTACAGGTGCGCGCTACCACGCCCAGCTAATTTTTTGATTTATTATAATCTCTTCCTCTTTTGCACCTCAGAACTTTGATAGTGCTCTTTTGAGGACCGCTCAATGTGTGGCAACAATCACGATCATAAGAAGAATCATAATAACATCAGCTAATATGTACCAAGTGCTTACTATGTGCCAGGCTCTTCCATGTGTCATCACTTGCAATTCTTACAACATGCTCTGAGTTTATTGCCCTTTATTTTTACATTTTACAGAAGGAAATCCAAAGCTCAGAGAGGGCCAAGAGGCGAAACAGGGATTCAATGTGATATGATGTGATGTGATGTAAGATGCATCACAATGTATTTTAAGTCTTTGTGTCTATGATGCTTAGCTACACGACTAGGATGATATGGTGTAAATTAAAGTCCAGCTGGGACAAACTCCTGACATTTATGGCTTTTTCTATTCTGTGACCCTACCTGCGTTGTCTGGTACACTGCCTTCTGCACAAAAGATGCTCAGTAGTGTCTCTTGTTCATTGAAATGTTGGAGGGGAGTCATAAAACAGGGTTAGCAAAATGTTGGTTCATTTTGTTGTTCATTCTCCTTTTGTGTGTGTTTGAAAATTTCCACAATAAAAGGTGAGTTTTTTTTTAAAGTCTTGTTCATGGAATGCTGTAATAACATGGGGCATTTCTACTGCCTAAGGACCACATGCAACTCCTATAATCCACTTGTCTGCCTCCACCTGGAAGAGAGATGGAAAAATCAGCCCACAGAAGAAAAGCTCAAGCTTATCTCCACCCCATCATCTCTTTCACAATGCTACAAACTAAAATCGTCTTCCTCTTCTCCCTACACTGGTATTGCAAGTGACCAGAAGGAATTCTTCCTGATGCTATTTTTATTTAGCTTTCCAGCTGTGAGCTCCCTCCCTCTCCCTCTGCAAAACCCTCATCCCTAACAGCCTGAGGAAAAGCCAAAGGGACTCACTCTTGGTCTAGGTGATGAGTCAGGAATCTGGAACTGAGGAAGACAGGCTGTTTCCTCCCTGGGTTTCCTTTCTCTCAATTTCTCTTTCAGATTTCCTAAACCTGGTTTTTTCCAACCAAATAATACTATATCCATTGTTGCTATTTGGTTATATGTTGATCTTCCTTCTGGATACAATAATGTTCTCCGAACTGGTCCTGTGAAAAGCTGGGGCAAAGGCTCAGTAGTCTAGAGTTCCTTCTCAAAACCTCAACATTCCTCTTCTAGTTATAGGGTTCTTCCCTCCAATGATCCAGTATATGCTATATTTCTGCAAGGTCTGACTCTCAGTGGGCGTCAAGAACTGAGAAAGGACTGGCTGATGAGAAGTGTGACCTCATAACATGCTTACGGGACTCCTCCACTCTAGCTCGTAACCCAACTCCCACCAGTGACACGATGAGCATCTTAACAGGGGAAATGAGAAGACTTCTGGTCCCAAGAAAGTGAGGCTGTCGTGATAAAGGGACTCACAATGGAGGTGGAATTTGGGGTAAAGGTAAGACTAACTAACCCATGCCTGGCTCTAAATGTTCCCTTTTCGGGGCTCTTGTAAACCATGTTGCTACAGTGTTAACATGACATAAATTTCCTAAATTTTCTTTTGTTGAAAGTTATTTTCTTGTTATAAACTTAGATATGCCAGCAAAACACCCTGGTGTGTGTGTGTGTGTGTGTGTGTGTGTGTCTGCACTTGTGCACACATGCACATGCACCCTATCTATGAAGAGGTAGATGGGGTCACACTGAGTTGTGATACATCAAATAACATTTGTTTTACCTAATGTCACTCATCTTGACAGCCTTGCATTTTCAAAATTAATAAAAAGCATAAGGAAACTGCTACATAATCACCAACTCAAGAATCTTGGCCACCAAGTTAAATATCCAGTCATCTGTGTTGTACATTAAGTGTGAAGGCACATATCACAGTTTGGGATGTAAATGGAAAAATCAATACCCTACAGGAAATCTACAATCACACAGCAGATTTTTCTATCGGCCAATGCTTTCTTTGTCGGTGCCTTCTGATGACACATACTTGTGTATTCCAGGCATCGATTTTGCTTTGCTTTTATTTAGGTTACTTGATAATCCTCCCTCTTCCAAGAAGCAGAGGCAGGTGCGAGGGCAGGAGAGCAGAGACGCTGAAGAGTCTATAATAAAGTCAAGGCAACATCCCATCTACCTGTCCAAGGCACTTTCCCTTGGTGCCTGTGGCCCGGAGGACTGGCCTTCCAGCTGGTGCTCCTGACCATCTGGGGCCCAGAAGGAACCTGTGTCCTCAATGCTTTCCCCTCAGAGAGCTCCCACACTTTCTAAACTGGCAGAAGCTCTTGCTGCAGCAAACCATGCAAGGAGGTGGGAGAACCACCCTTCAGCTAAAAAAGCACTTTGGAGCGGAGTTTGCAGTCTTCTCTGACAGATTCCTTAAAAATCTGCTCTAAGCTGCACTAAGAAAACTCCAAGGACTTCCTCTTTCTCTCTTATGAATGAACAAGTCTTTTTCTTATAGAGGCAAAATTTCTCAGGGCTTCACAACCAGCCAAACACCAATCACTTTTCTTACAGCTGAAAAAAAAAATTAAATTTCTCCTTGGAGAAATACGCTTACTTATGTTTTCTTTTTATCCTCTTTTTTTCTTTTATCACAGGAACGTATGCTGACCAAAATAAAGCATTTCTAACAGTGATGAGAAGGATGAACCTTGTACCAAATCTCTCAAAACTACCACCAACACAATATTATGTTTAAGCACAGCAATGACAAAACATCTATTTTCTCTAAAGAGAGCTAAAAAAGATGTTCACATATGTTTTACCTCTTCCAATACAAACTGACCACAACCAGGACTCAAGCATATTCATTTTTCCAATAAATAGACAAAAATTAAATAACGGCATGTTCCTTCTAACAATTTCTCTGAAAAGTAATAAGCTACTCCCCCAAAGCATTCTGACACCAAAAACGTAGCATAAATGGCCCCTACAGTCTCCTGCTGACAATCATGGCTATAGAGAGAAACATCGAAACTGAAATGAGCAAAATGGTTTCCCCAGAATAGATAATGCTAGCAGACCTGGAAGTTCAAGAGTCCTAAGATAAAATACAAGGTGAGTTAAATTTTCAGGAAAAAAAATGCATTTATAAGCAGCAAATTGGCCTGTGGATCGGACGGCCAAAGGGCTACTACACATGGAGAATGAGTGGTGCTGTTGTAACTGCAGACTGCAGAGGGGAAAAGGAGGTTCTTGCTGTCAACATGCAGCTTCTGAGGCTAGAATGGGTAAGAACTGCATTTTTCTCTCTTCTCCTGATCTTTGGACACTTTGTTTTTAATGAACAGTTGGTATCAGAGCTAAATCCAAAGACTGTTACATGTGGCATTTCCTAGCTGAGACCTGGCAGAGCTGTTCTATATTTGGCCAAAAAGCTAAACAGAAATTAAACTACCTCAAAATGTAGCAACTGAGCACCCTCATTCTCTTTCAGTGTGTTCATTTAGTTGGAGCAAATGTTTTGCTTTAATGCAATTGAAAAGAAAAGAACATTTAGGGACAACATGGCCAGATCCCTCATAAAGCTTCATTTTCCAAAGTAGTGTTTGAATCTCTAAATAAATGACAATTCATTCTCTGTTTACTTTAGGTAAACAGAAAATGCATTGCAGAGCACTCGTTTTCAAAAGCTAATCAAGAACATTAGGTCCCAACAGATTCATTTAATAGAAATATAATAGGCATTCCTGCTTGCTTTTCATCTTGTCTCTCTGTAAATGCTAAAATGAACAGCAAATTAACCCTGCATTGGAACAGAGTTTCAATGTCACAGCTGATATCCTCTCTCTCACAACTTGTAAACATCCCCGCATCCTGTCACTGCTTTGACTCCTTCTGCATAGGAGAGACGATTAAGTTTGGCAAGAGAGTGGAGGAATACTTGAATTCTAAAGGGAGTACTGCGTGTCAACTCTGCTATCTTTCCTAACAGAACGAAATATTACAATGCTGTCTCCTTAAACAGCGAACAATTAGGATGTGGAGGGGGTGTTCTCTTCCAGGCTACATATATCAACTGTCTTGTTCTGTAATTTTTAACTTTACTAACCATTCTCTAAGTGGCTGCTTATAAACTACGTAAACAAAACAAACTAATAACGACAGGGCCATTCAAGTTGTATAATCAGATATAAAAGATGTGCAAACAATTTGAGATCTTATAATTCATATTCAGTGATATCAGAATTAGCATTTAGAACTCTACACAGAAAAACTATAATATGTCATAAATTATGTAATAATGAACAAACCCTTTCAAAAACTGTTTTCACTGTGCTAAAGTAACATTCTAGACTTGTTGTAAGTATGTTATTCTTACAAGTAGTTCGCAGTTATTCTTGAAGGCAAGCCTTGGAGTTTCCTTAGCATAGTGCTGCTGGGGAAAATTTTCAGCATGTCCATCTTCATCTCTAGCCTGAAGGGAAATATAATGGCCTATTTAGGGACTTACAAATAATGGAAGAAAAAAAGCTAAAAAGCATAACAGCTCAGATCATTCAACAAACGGGAATCCAGAAATAACAACAATATTAAGATGTTTGTTTAAATACGCAGTACGCCTTTCAGATATCGAAATTTGGGATTTAGTTTTCTTTACGTTGTTTAGGTTCAACATGCAAATTTATTGTGGTGTAACGCTTAAAACGATAGGAAGCAAACCAAAATCAAATCATTTTGTTGGGCATTACCACCACTTAGTCTTTCGGTGCACATGGTTCGTTGCACCTTAAGGATTATATGACATACATACGTGTTTAAACTTTTTTGGCATGCTTAAGCAATCTCTAGATAATGCACTTTAAAAAAACTCTAGTAGCAAGGCCATAAGAAAAGCAATTTTGCATAGTTATATTTTGCATTGTAATACTATTAGAGATAAACTAATTCCCCTCCATTTTAAATAAAGACCAAAAAGGAGTGGTGATCGAGTGAGAACAATGAGTCTTCAATCAAATGCAGTAAAAAATAAAGAATAAAGATTTAATTAAGAAGCTGCATTAAAAGTTACTGGTTATTTTGGTCTACACTGTTAATTAAGAAAGCTGAAGCTTAAATGGAGACATTCACGGGACCCATCAGCAACATCGCTCCACACAGTCCTCTTTCTAATCTCCATGGGTTTCTGATTTGGAGTTGGCGAGAAGGGAGAGGTGGGCGAAAGGGGCGTGTCCGCAGCACACTCATTAAACCATCCATTTGGGTGACACGTGCACTCCGCTCTGCTCTCTCATCTTAGCCCTAACTGCTCTGTCTTTCGTGGCCTCCTGAAATTCACAGCTGAGCTGTCTCCCTCACATATGGCTTGCATATCATTATGCATATTCCATTTTGCACTGCATTAAAATGATGAGCTCCTGGCTCCCTGCCAGCTGATTTTTAAAAGCCCCAGTGAAGTAGGAGAAAGGAGAGAAACACAGGGAGAGCTGCACAGGAAGCAGCAGGTAGTTCTGTCTGCTGTCTCTTTAGATAAAATATATGTCTGGCACTGAGGGGACAGCTGAGAGCTACCTGTTGTGATGTATGGAGTGAGGGGGACAAAACAATTGCATCCTCGGTGGCACAAGGATGACAACATGCATATATTGTTTCTCCTTGAACAGAGCGAAATGCGCCCTGATGAGTGTCACTCAGAGCTCCCTGGCTACACTGGGGATTGTCATTTTAGAAAGGGATTGGTATTTTGTACGACTGAGAATGCATTGCTTGTTTTTAATAAGGCTTCTGCTACTTCCCAGGGAAGGAACTAGATGGAACTTAGAAGTGGAATGCCATGGTCAGTAGTATTTGGGTTACAAGAAGTTTGTGGGGGAAAAAAGTTGGCTCTGATTTGGTTCATTTTTGAGATTTATCCACATCCCTGGAGCTTGGTGCCTTTGTATTGTACCTCTCCTCCCCAAAGCCCTAGTAAATTAGAGTAAGATAAAGATGCTGTTATAGGATTGGTTATATGTGGCAGAGAAAAACATGTGTTGTTCACATCCAGAGCTGCCAAGTACTAAGGTCAGTGATGTTTCTCCTCGCTGCATCTATACCAAGGTTTAAATTATTACACTCAAATGGGAGTTTTAAACCCCAACTGGTAACAGTAGCGGTAAAGCGTATGAATGAAGGGCACTCATAAGAAAGCAGTAAGATGCCAGTGGGCAGTGACAACATTCAATTCTTCATGACAAGATGTTAAGCCACCCTGTGAGGTACAGGTTTCTTAAAGGCAGGGACCACATCTATTTCCTCTTTCTTACTCTGCCATGGCCAGTGCTTTACTTTTAGGGATGGTGCTTTACATTTAAGGGGTGGAAAAACCCATGCATGGATAGTAACTAGACCCTACTATAAACAACTCTGTAGAAAATGCCACCTCAAAATAAGCTAAACTTGGTAGTAGCTTTATTATATTCCTGATGCATTATGATACATATGCTTGGAAACACACTTTGCATATAGTTTGCAAGGGCTACTATTTACATATGTATGTCTATATTCAATATATATGTATCTTGTATATAAATATTCATAAGGTAGAATGTGTTTATTATGCATGTACTATGTATACACATTCATACACACCAGATGCCTAGGGATATTTTCAACATTAGTGGCAAAAATACATTCATTCCACTTACATGTAAGGTGCACATAATGTTTTTTTACGTGTTTAAAGGACAAAAAAAATCCCATTATCTAAGATTTGAATGTGCTTCCTCAAAAGAGCTATAGACTTCATATAAAGCCTCATAATCTGTGAGGTTAAATAAAGCTGTAGTGGAAGAAAGAGGAAAGGAGGCCTGGGGAGATTAGGAAGCAGAGAGAGAAAGCCAGAAACTAGCTTCTTTATGGAACCAAGATGCTCGCCTCTGTATCAAATACCCAAGACCCTGGGGATGGCCAACCCTCTGACACCAACTTGACTCATTCACCAGGGTTTCTGGTTGGTTTCTGCCACGTGCCCCAGAAATGAAAAACACAGAAGGTGGAGGAAGCCCCAAACTCATCCTCATGTGTGTGTGTAAGCACACATACCTCCTGCCACAGCAATCCTCTTTGCATTCTGAAGTTTTTAATGTGTACCGTTAAATTACTATTACTGGACTAAGTGGAATTAAGTGCATTCATCTGAGGCAATAATTCTCTACCCTGGCTGCCTATGAGAATCATCTAGGGTTTTTGTTTGTTTGTTTGTTCAGACACATATTGGTGGCTGGCCCTCTTCCTTTTCCAAGACCCTGATTTAGTTGGTGCAGGTGCGGCCTGGACATGGATGGTTTTTTTCCCAGAAAGCTCTCAAGTGACTATAATGTACAAGGAAGGCTGAGAACTACTGCTCTGAGCAAAGTGCCTACAGGTCTCAAGAGGAGGCCTTTGGCATAGCCGCCAGTAAGTTCTCTAACCAGGTCCCAGGCCCACTGGAGTGAACCACTGTGCAACATGAAGAGGATATCAACCCACATTTAAAAAATCTGAAAGCTGGAAATATTTTGAGTGCCTACATGACATTCAAAGGAAATGTGCACTGGAGGAAATGCTCACTGGAACATTCCATCTTTTGACTTTTTGGATTTCGGATGCTCAACCAGTAAGTATATATAATGCAAAGATTCCAAAATCCAAGACATTTCTGGTCCCAAGCATTTTGGATAAGGGACACACAATCTATAGGACATAGCCCCTGAGTTGATCTTACCCTAAATATTCAAGAGATTACACAACTAGTTACTTGCGGGCAAACATTCTCATTGTCTGTTTGCTTGTTGTTTGTTTTTTAGTATCTGATATGACAAATAATATTAGAAGAGCTACTGCACCACTTCTTCAAAAAGGCCTTCCTGATCCTAACCAAGGCAAGTATCTCCACTCTGTACTCTCTCAGACTCACTACAGTTGCAACCTTATAACCACTGGTATATTTCTGTCTCCCCCAAGGGACTGCAAGCTTCCTAAGGGTAGGGATGATGATGGTTTCCCACCATCGTACCCTCAGCCCCAGCTTCTGCCTGGTACCCAGTAAGCGCTCTGTAAAAAGGAGCTTTATCATTCACAGCAACTTGGTGGCGAAGTTAGACAAAAGCCTTAAGACTTTCCTTACCCTCCATGTAGAATCATGTTAGAATGTTGTACAACCTCTCACAGATTGAAGACAGAGTCTTAACCTACATCTACCCCACTTGGGGTGCCAGACAATGGCTTAACAAATAAGGGGGACAGAGGAGGATGATGACCCCTGGAGAGGAGTTTGTGAACACAAACTGTTCAGAACCACTGGCTCATGGTCATAACACAAGGCAGATCACCTTCAAGCTGGTTCTAGTATTGTTCTTAAATTATCTACAGACAATGCATTCTCTGATTGCCTGTCTCAGAATGGACCACCCCACTGTTGGCTCTTTGGATCCACTGGGGCCAGAAGACCATGTTCATGTCTGACTTTGTTCTGGAGTGACAAGTTCTGACAGCAGAAGGCATGTCAAGACACTTCGTGATGAACAAACTCTCTCCGCGTGTCCTCTCAACAGCTTCGTTCTGAATAATGTGCCAGACATTTATGCCAACTCCAGGGAAAAACAAATAGGAGACAGGTTTTTTGCATTTTACTACAACTGTGATTGTCAGACCAAAGGTGCATTTTTGTCTTATTATTCTGAGAATCTTCACTTTTTGCCATAACACAAACAAAAATAAAAACGCTTCAATGAAACTGCAGGGAGATTTTCCCCTTTTGCCGACAGTCATGCATCCATTTTCATGTTGTGCTGGCATTTAGGTAAATATTCGATTATGTGAGAAATTTAGACTAATTGCTCCTCGACTTTAGAAACCTCTGGTTTAAACCAGCTGTGTATTCACCTTTCTTTTCCTGCGAATCATCACTAATTCATTTCTTTTGATTCCTAAATATAGCAAACTTTAGTTCTTCTTCAAAGTATTCACGTCTCCCTGTGAGCTGAAGTCTTGGTGCCATGTGCGTATTTAAGCAAGATCAGCATTCTTTCTCCTCTAGAGAGAAACTCTAGAGAGAACTCCTTTAGAACAGGTCGAACATTCTAGAAACAGCTCCACTTGTCTATCCCAGAGAAGGGTGATGTTTCTGACTCAATGAAAAGACTAACATTGTTGCCATTTAAATGGAAAGATAATTAGGCTTCAGACTTAATACTCCCCTATGTTGAATGGGAGTTTACATCTCTGTGTCACTGGGATTTCAGGATTTCTTTTGAAAACAAGAAAAGGAGCCGGGCTCGGTGGCTCAGCCTGTAATCCCGCGCCTTTGGGAGGCTGAGGTGAGTGGATTGCCTGAGCCCGCGGGTTCGAGACCCGCCTGGGCAGCGAGACCTCATCTCTACAATAAATCAAAAAATCAGCCGGGCGTGGTAGCGCGCGCCTGTAATTCCGGCTACTCAGAAGGCTGAGGCGGAAGGA